CCCTTTTTGTATTTTTCATTTTGGGAGTTGTGCATGCTAAGTTACCCAGGCTGTAACTGCAAACTTGTGATCCTCCTGCCTCAGCCTTCCAGAATGCTGGGATTGCAGCTGTGCACTGCCACTCCCAGCTAGCAAGCTTACCTGTTAGTGGTGTTTTGCTTAGGTGGCTGGTGAGAGGATTTGAGCCCAGGGCAAGCCCATCCTTGGGGAGCAGCTGGGATCTTGGCAGCTCTGGCTGGATAGCATGGCACAGTTGGTCCCCTGCATGGGCTTCCCTGTGGGTAGCTGTGCTTATCCATTACCAAGATTCTCTTTGGTGGTTTTCGTAGTGCTTAGCCTGTTTCTTTTTCTTTTCTTTTTTTTGAGACAAGATCTTGCTGTGTAGTTTAGGCTGACCTTGGACTCACTATGTAACCTAGGCTGACCTTGGACTCAAGTTCATCCTCCTTCCTCAGCCACCCAAGTGCTGGGATTACAGGCATGCAGCACCACACCCAGCCTGTGGCCTCTGTTTCTAAGGTGTGAGCAGACAGATCCCTGACTGTACTGTCCCAAAGGTTCAGCCTATTAGCTCATTGCTGAACAGACCACCCTTTCCCCTCACCACTTGTCTTCACTGCTTTCTTGGGTCTGCCTCAGCCTGCCCTCCTCGACTTCCAGCTTCCCCATGGTCCCTGCACCCCTTCCTCGAGGGCCTGGGAAGCTGATAGACTGGGCGTGGGGCAGAATGCTTGCCTGCCTCTCAGGGCGAGTTGGTGAGGCATGTCCTGCCTCCGAGGGCAATCTCGCTGCAGCCTGGGAAGCTCACCAGCGCCCTCACCTAGAGGGCCTGGGAATGCCAGGAGCTGGCCCCTCTGCCCAGCGTTGCCCACATTGGAAAATTCTGGTCTCCCTCCTGCCCAGTGTCTCTGTGGACTGTCCTGCCGGACCCTGGCTCGTTGTGGCCGAAGCCCTGTGCCCAGTGACCTTGTGTAGCATGCTGTCTCACATTGCCCGGTGGCTGTTTCTTGGACATGGTTTATGTCCCTGAGTATTTTTCTCTGCCTTGGGAGCCAGGAGAGGGGCGGCTGACAGCGGCTGGATTCCAGGCAGTCACGGGAGAGCTGGGTACTTGGCAGGAGCCTAGCAGGGAGAGTATGACTTCTCACATCAGGTTTTGGACTTGAACCTTCTTCCTTGACAGATCACTCCTGGCCCCCCTAACCCAGCAGGCTGGGGTGCGAAGTGCGACTCCGGTCACGTCTGTGGGGCTTTGCTGAGGAATCAAGCATGACTCGGCATCTCCATTTAGGAGCTGCCTCCCATGGCAGGCTTGGGCCCCACCCCTTCCTTACCTTACCAGCTTCTGCTGCCCCACCCTGGTAAAATCAGCAAAGCCCGCGTCTGCTTGCTTGGAAGCACGCAGCCCACTTCTCAGATTGGGAAATAGCTGCCCACTCAGGCTCAGAAAAACATCCCTGGGTGGGCGTGGCAGTTTGACTTCCGGGACCCCTGGTGCACTCACTGAGGTGTTGGGCTTTTCTCTGCCCTGCAGTGTCTCACGGTGCTTTGGGCATGCGCCTGGCACCCTCACAGTGGCTTCTGCTCACCGACAGATGAGGACTGACGCATCCCACAGGTAAGGCCGCCTCCCTCGATCAGGGGCCTCCGGTGGCTGCCTGATATGCACAGACATTTAGGGTGCAGGCCTTGCAGCTGAAATCCTTTCACTGGGGCTGTGTCCCAGACCCCAGATGCTTATCCGCATCGCTACACATTGGTTATCATCACTCACACATTAGATAATGATTGAATGTTTGGGTGCTTGTGGGTTTTTTAAGAGCATGGAGAATTTTCACCTTTGTAGTCTCTAATAAATAAACTCTGAGAGGGCAAGGATTTATTGCGTTTCCTGTTGGGTTTAAGACACAGGCTCAGCTATGGTGCACAGAAGGAACGCTGAGTAAATGTTTGTTGAATGAGTAAATGAGCAAACTTTCCTCTCAAGCCACGTGGGCACCTAGGATGCCAGGCCACCAAGGTGCTGACCAGCATTCCCTCTTTATGAAATGGATATTTTTGGGGCTGGGGATTTAGCTCAGCGGTTCCACCACCTGCCTCACAAGCTCAAGGTCCTGAGTTCAATCCCCGGTACCAAAAAGAAAAAAAAAAAAAGAAACATATTTTTGAGAGTCTGACATACACCAGGCTTTGGGAAAGTGATGATAGTGAAAAATAGATTGAGTTCCTGCCTCCTCGGCGGGCTGGTGGTTTGCCTCATATATGACACACAGAGTTGTTTCTCAGTCTCAGCTGCTGAGGTTGCTGGGTCCCACCAGGCTGAACAATACTGTGTCCTCAGGATCCCAGCAGGATGCGGCAGGTTTCATAAGAGCAGCTCCTGGGAGGCTGGTGCTCTTTGTCCTGACTGTCTGGAGAGCCAGCTCAGTGGGTCCCTGCTGGGACTCGGAAACCCAGCCTCCTGGCTGTTTTCATCTCTGAAGTTTGTGAGCCACTTTCCTTCCTCTGCTGTGACACCCTGCGGGTTTTCCTGTACAAGACATGGTGGCGGCGGGTCCTGTGCTGTGTCTGTCCAGCCTGGGGGATCCGGGTGTTTATGGGTCTTACAGGCAGGGGCCTTGTTGTTCTCAAACCCATGAGGAGGCCTTTCCTCTTCAGGGGAGATGACAGAGGAAGGTGGGGGTGCTGAGGCTTTTGAGGTCCCCAGGGGGGTGTACAGGGAGAGTCTTGGAGCCTAAAGGTTTGGTTTTGTTTTATTTTGAGACAGGGTCTCACTATATCGTTCATACTGGCCTCGAATTTGCAGTGGTCCTCCTGCCTCAGCCTCCCAAGTGCTGAGAGTACAGGTGTGTGCTACCATGCCTGGCTATTTTGGTAGATTTCTGAGCTTTGAGCTCCCCATCCCAGTGCATTGTTGTCTTAATTGCCTTTGGCAAGAGTAAAGTTATTATATTCAAGTTTTGTCTTATTTTTCTGTGTTAATCTCAAAAAGTTGTGGCTGGATATACCCGGTGGCGCATGCCTGTAGTCCTAGCACTTGAGAGGCTGAGGCAGGAGGATCATCATGAGTTAGAGGCCAGCCTGGGCTGCATAGCAAGACCCTGTCTCAAAAAAGGTTGTGATTGTTGCCATCTGTGTCTTTCCTACCTGAGGTGCTTGCATGGGCCAAGTGTTGTGGCACATGTTTCAGACCTGGGCTTTGGCTGCCGCCTGTCCTCAAGGGAAGAAGAACCTAGCAGGGGAGAGGACACATGCACCAGAAAAAAGTTTGAAGTGCTGTAGAGCTGGTGAATACTAAGAACATGGTCAGTTCTCTTGTTTAGATGAACAGATTGTCCCTGAGGCTGGCTTTGTCCCTAAAGAAATTGAATCTTGGATTGAGGCTTAAAAGAAAGTTTTGTTTTTCCCTTTTGAGACAGGGTCTCCTCTTTCTTTCTTTCTTTTTTTTTTTCGGTACTGGGTTTCAAACTCAGGACCTTGCGCTTGTGAGGCAGGTGGTAGAACCACTGAGCTACATCCCCAGCCTGAGGCAGAGTCCTGCTGTATAGTTCAGGCTGGCCTTGAACTCCTAGTGATCCTCCTGTAGTGAACCTGCAGAGTGTTAGGATCCCAAGCTTGCACCATCATGCTTGGTTAGACAGTCTCTTAAGTTGCTAAATTGTCAGGCTGGGCTTGAACTTGCAGTCCTCCTGCCTCAGCTTCCCAAAGTGCTGGGGTGACAGGTGTACCCCACCACACCTGGCTCTACAACCTCTTATAAGTGACATTTTTAATGAAAAAATAACTTTTTAAAACAAAATTATCGAGGGAAGTGACATTGTTTTATAGTTTTGCCAACCTTTTTGTCTGACAAGACAGCTGAGTTCTTACATCTACTTCTGTATTTAAGTTTGTACAGTATTGTTTTGTTGTTGTTTTTCTATACTGGGGATCAAACTCAGGGCCTTGCACTTGTGAGGCCAGCATGGTGCCACTGAGCTAAATCCCTAGCCCCAATATTGGGTTTTAATTGATGGACATGAAGAAAACCGGGCCTCATATGGATTGTAGTTTAGGGAGGAGGAAGTAATTTAATAGCCAGTGGTAGATAATTGTGGGTATTCTTCTTGAGAAGTAATAGTTTCCTTAGGATTAGCCACCGTGAACAAATTTTTCTTTTTTGTGACATAGTTCATTGGTATTAATTAATTGATTCATTATAGTACTGGGGATTGAACCTAGGTTCTTCTTTGCACTGAGCTACATCTCCATCACTTTTTTTGTTTTTTATTTTGGGGTAAAGATTCAGGTGCTCAGCTTCCTGGGTTAGACTTGAAGTTATGATCCTCCTACCTCAGTTTCTCAGAGTGCTGGAATTATAGGTGTCACCGCTATACCTGGTTCCCTTGGTATATTTTTTACTTTACTTTGAATTGGTCATTGAGAAATACCAGTTCACTAAATTATATAGGTCTCTCAAATGTTGACATGTTCCATTTTACAGTATCAAGAATCATATTCCTTAATATTATCACTGGTCTCATCAGAAAAGTCTCCGTGGGTTGAGAAGCTGTCAAGTTCATACTAGATACATGTTTTTTGTAATTAGAATTTTTCTCAAGACCTTGATTTGTCATTATTAACATGCTGTCAGTTCTTTTTCTTGAAGTAACTGGCTTACTTTATTCAATAAGAAAAAAAAAATCTAGCTGGGCTTGGTGGTGCACACCTGTAATGTGACCACTGAATGAGGCTGAGGCAGGAGGATCACAAATTCAAGCCCAGCCTGGGTAGCTTAGCAACTTAGCCAGACCTTGTCTCAAAATAAAAAATAAAAAATTTAAAAAGCTGGGGATGTGGCTCAGTGCAAAGGCCCCCAGTTAAAAAACTAAATCCCCAGTGGTTCCACTGCATGCTTCTCAAGCACAAGGACCTAAGTTCAACCCCTGTTACCAAAAATAAATAAACAAACAAGCAAACAAATAAATAAATATTTCAGTTCTTGCCAACTTAGACTGTCTTGTTTGTTTTTGTTTTTATTTTTAAGAGAGTCTCACTATGTAATTCAGGCTGGCCTTGGACTCTAGATAATCCTCCTGCCTTAGCCTCCCAATTTCTAGGATTACAGATGTGCACTGCCACACCTGGCTCCTGTCTCAAAAATAAAAAGGGTTAGAGATATAGAGTGGTAGATACCCCAGGGTTTGATCCCTGTTTCCACAAACAACCAAAAATAGTCCTAATGATCATTGTTTGTGTTAATCTTTCAAGTAAAAAATGTTTCATGAAAAAGTGGCTAGTTTAGCTTGCAACTCAAAGAAATGCTTTGTGTGTGTGCGTGTGTGTGTGTGTGAGAGAGAGAGAGAGAGGGAGAGAGGGAGAGAGGGAGAGAGAGAGAAAGGCCCAGTATTTTGCTGACTTGTCTAGGTAGGCATCAAACCCACAATCCTCCTACCTTAGTCTCCTGAGTAGATGGGATTATGTTTCCTTTTTGTGGTATTAGAAATTGAACCTCAGGGTGCTCTAGCACTGATCTTCACCCTCAGCCATTTTTACTGTTTAAAATTTTGAGACAAGGTCTTGCTAAATTGCCTAAGCTGGGCTTGAACTTGAGTCCTCTTGTCGCAGCCTCCTGAATATCTGGGATTATAGGCAGGCATCTGGCTAAGGGTCAGCCAAGGTGTAGTGAAGCTAGTTCTCGTTGGTGTACCTAGGACATTCTGCTGTGAAATTGGTGCTTTCTTGTCTTCCAAGCTTCTGAGAGTGGCCTGACCCAGTGGGCTCTCGCTGGGCATCCTGGGAGTTGCTGCGGTCAGGAGAGGAGGCTGGGCAGCATCTGAAGGTGGCTAGGTGGGGCCGGCGTCCTGCGGGCCCCCTCTGCTTGACACCTGGTGCTGGCCTTGGCGGGCTGCCTCCTTGCTGCAACTTGCATGTCCAGAGTGTCCCAGAGGGAGGGAGCAAGTGTCCTGAGAAGAGTGGCAGTTTCTCTGCTGCTGGTCGTGAGTCTGGCTCAGATCAGAGTGGACTACACATGGGTGCGGACAGGGAGAGACTTGGTTCATGGGGAGGGAGAGAGGGAAGAGACCTCTTTGGAAACAAGCTTCGGCTTTTTATTGCACTTTAAGTGAGGCAGCCAGGTCTGTGAGTAGAATACTTGTAAAGGAGAAAAGTGCATCTCGCCTGTAACTTCCACTCCCCAAGTAGTGCTAGGGAATTCCTAGGAGCAGCAGAGGACCCAGGGAAGGAATTTGCACTTCTTCAGGCAGTGGGGAGCCTTGGATGGTTTCAGAGCAGGAAGTGATGGTGTTAATACTTACTGTAAAAAACTGGCTTGACTGTCAATAGAGGCAGGGAGGATGGGTAAGAGCCTACATCTGGGTTCGCTGGGTTTAGTTAAAGGCTTTGACTTGGATCTGCCAGCCACATGGATTAAATACCCAGACCTCAGGAGGAGTAACCCCTGCCCCGGTGAGGCTGACAGTACACTAAAAGGTTACCTAAAAGGTTCACAGATGTTGAAAATGAATGCATTTTTTTTATTGTCAACACATAAAAAGTGTAAGTCATTAAAAATAAAATAAAAAACCAGGAGAAGCTGGGCGTGGTGGCACACGAGTTTCAGGAGTTTCAGCACTTTGG